AAATGATGAATTCTGTATCACTAATTGGTATTTTAAATTATTGTGTAATGAATATAAACCTTGAACATTTATTTCTCTTTTGCACTTTAATTATCATTTATTTTCCTTGGATATTTCCAGGGTCGTTGCACCGAGTAATATTATGTGATTGTGTAATGATGAACAATGCAATGTAGGACTATTTAATATTATTAACTCAATATAAACTTACATCAAGAACTTATACAAGTGTCTCCAAATAAGCTTCATTCAATTCATCTTGTCAAACATCCATAATAGATTAACATTTATCTCAATGCACACTTCCATACGTATAAACAGTTGTCCAATAAAGCGCATGTTCACCATGTTCTTAGAAATATAAATGGTCATAGATAAAAATAAAAAAATAATTAATTTCATTCAACTTTAAAAAAAAATTCAAATTTGATTATTTGAACCCACATCTTCATAAAAAAAGTTCATGATTCATCATTGGTTGACTCGTTCCTAGTTGACTCTTTGTAGCTATGGCATCTCCAATGCAAAATTAAGGCATAAAAGTATCAGATACAGAAACAGATTCTTAGTGCATGATAAAAATTATATATAACGAAACAAATTATTACAAATTTCTTATAAATTGTATGAGTTGCAATTACACATATATATAACTGAGATCAGAAGTGATATCAAAATATAAAATATCAAAATACAAAAAGGTCACTTCTATTATTATGATATTTGACTGATCAGAGTGCAGGAACAATCATATACTCAAGATTTGTGAATCTACAGGATCCTCATAGATTTCAATGAATAGATCAGCGAACAGTTCATCACTATCTTCTTCATATATGAGGAGGCATGAAAAGAGAGTTTTATATGTTCAGTAAGAAAAATAATATTTAAATAATATCGTAAGATTTAAAAGGTGAATAATAATATCATTACTACTTACCATCAGGTCACGTGGGGGTCCTATTTTATTTTATGAAAATAATTTTATTTATTAGAGGAAACATCGTATCATAGTCACAACAATTAAATCAAAATTATATTCAACAATAGAGAAAATCAAATAAATTATGAAATTCTCAGATTTTCGTGTTATGTTTCGCGAAGTCATTCCGATTTCTATCTCTGAGGGCAGATATGGATTTTCGATTATCCATGTGAAATGACCAGATCATATATAGATAATAACAATTTACTCAGACACATTTTCAACTTGTCAAACCATGGTACGAGTATGACCATGGTCATACCGACCATAGTGGTCTTATCAAATATTCTATGACCATGACAATACTTAGCAAAATGTAACTCCTAATAGATATTTGTGTCACCATTCTCGTCAGAGTGTACGTCGTTATTTACAATGAGCGATTCTCTCACGTCTTTCTAGACCAGATGAAGGAGGAAAAAACAAATAATCATTAAAGATAAAAAGTATAACGAGACACTTGATGCATTATGCATGTCAATATAAATACATACATATTTCAAACCATTTAGGCTTTATTCCAGATCTCTTTTTTTTTTTATTTATTTTTCAGATAAATCATCAGATTCATATTATTTTATTTACATTCAAATAATAAAATGCCTATAAATCATATAGTATACTTGAAATCAAGAACAATTCACTTATTTAGAACTACTAGACATAGAACATGTAAACCACACAAAATCATGGATTCATAATTTTAAATTTTCTAGAAATACTACTTAAAATGTTTTAAAAATACTAAATTCTTTACCGGAACTTAGAAATTTTCCTACACCGTTATTCTTCTCATCTTTCTCTCTCTATATCACTCTCTAGCTCTTTTTAAACTCTTGAAAGGTGGAAAAATGAAATAGAAGTGATGAGAAATGGGAGAAGAGTCCCTATTTATAAAAAATGGGGACCATCGGATTAGCATCAAGTAGCGAAATCTGGTGAAGAGAGACTGTTGAATGGAAGATGATTGATTTGATGAGGCACAAAAAAATGGAGGAAAAATTCTTCCACGGGGCAGTGGCAAACCGCCCAAGGAGGGCATGGTACACTACTTGCAGCGGCAGTGCGCCTCACTCGACTGGTGCACGTTGCAGGCCTAGCCTGCAGGTGCTGGCCTACCCTAGCGTGCACCAGGCCTACAGCGCGTTGGGGCGCCACACGCAGGCTTGTCGCATGGACGGCGCACGCACAGTGTGCGACACCTGGCCCTGTCTGCGCGTGATGTGACGCGGACGCAGGACTGGCCCCGCGCCTCACGCGGATAGGACATGCGCACGTCCTGCGCCTGGTCGTGCGCGCACAGCGCGTGGGCGACTCTCTCCCACAGGATTTTTCTCCATTTTTTTTGTTTTCTCCTGAGAATTAGTTTTTTTTAAAATTATAATTATAATAATAATAAATAAAATAAAATAAAATAAAAATAATAATAACAAATAAAAATAAATAAAATAACAAAATCAACATAAAATTGAAATTATGAATTACGAATAAAGCTGCAAAATAAATTTAAATGAGTTCAAGTAGTCTTAAGACCCGAATAAATAAAAATATTTCAAATACAAATTTAGTGCGGTGGTGAGCAGGGTGTTACACTAGCTTTATTAGTTAATGTCTCACTTATCTAAGCCTAACTTAGTCTTGTTTAGACAGTTCCATGTTGACCCCTTCCCTACATAAAGTTACACAATGTAAAGAGATAAAGTTTGTCATTTAACATCCTTTAATATTAAATATAATATCCAATAAAATATTATTTACAACATTCTTTAAATTTTCAAACTCATCTCATGTCACAATGATGTAATTATACATCCATATCAATCTCACATGTGCCTATACTAACTTCAAAGGGAATCCAAACATTTTATGAATCCTACAGGTATCGAAATCCATATATCAATACTTTTATTATATTATCCATAAATATATATGTATGTAGATAGGTTATGTATTCCTTTCTCTATGAGAATTTACTTTTACTTGTTGACTACAACTTTTTTCCAACTTTAGAGAGAACTTAAAAAAAATAAAAAATTATATGTATTTAATAGTTTGTATTAATTAATTTCATAGGAACACAATAACTCATAAATGTAGAACTTACATCATTTGTTGTGTACGAGCTTCACTTACTTAAACTCAAGATTACATGGCTACACGTGTTCTTCTACTCTACCCCTTAGGGTGGAAGACTATTGATTTGAGCTTGTGTTAGTTTGTGGTTTCTTACACGAATATTATGGCAACATGTTCAAGGCATCAAGTGCAATAATGTTGCACATCTTCTTAATAAATTGTATCAATTCTAGTTCTCATTAAGACCTCAAATCCTAAATCCTTGGGTCTCCAAGGTAGTCTTCAAAATGTTGGTGGGTCGAGTCGTTCACAAGTTGACCTACGACATAATGAACACTTATTCATGGGCTTTATGTTGTGTTCATAAACTATCAAATAGTGCTCTTGTGATAAAACACATTGACATGATCACCAAATTGTTATCACAGCATTGCAATTGCTACCATTGCTTGCTTGCACTAAATCTCAGTCAAGTTTCATAAATAATATGCGTAACTTATTATAACTATAATATAGGACAAAATTTTACAAAAAAAAGTGCAAGAGTCCACTAATTTATTTAAGGCAAAATTAACATTCAAAATATATACTCGTATAATAAAAAAAATTAATGTGAAATAAATGAAACCAAATAAAAAAAAGGATAAAGCACCCATTCCATGCTATAGGTTACAAAAGATTAAAGGCTAAAACTAAACAAAAAGATGGCTCGAAAAATAACAAACAAAAAACAAAATACCTAATTTAGAATAATGCTAATTCATGTAAAAAATTCACTTTTGGATATATGACAACCACAATTTATTCTTTGTTTGTTAGACCTTTTTACCCATTAATCATACTCTAAAGTCTAAAATCGTCCATATTTTCAATATCTAAAGAAAATGAATATCGAGCCTTATTTAGGGTACAACGTTGAAAACTAGTTTGAAATGTTAAGACAAGGGGGCATGACAGGTTTTGCAAAACCCTAAAAAAAGGATAATCTTCATGAAGCCCTAAAAACAACATTGAGCATGCAAATCTCCTAAACAATCGTTAATGCAACCCAAATTTTCTATGTATAATTAATTTTTAAAATTTGTAAGTTAAAAACGAAGTGACATTAATGGGTCAAATATGTTTGATTAAGTATAAACAAATATGTTAAACGTATAGGAAAAAATGTAACTCAATAATTTTAAAACCTTTTTAATTAACATAAAATTAATAGACTTCAAATAAATATTTGTAAAAAAATGAGTTAAGTTAAAAATATTTTTATTATTTAATGAAAATATTTATTAATTTGACAAAGGTCCAAACGAGTACAATTTTATTAATCATTTTATAATATTATAAAGTATTTAAACAATTTTATTTAATAATGATTTAAATTAATAACCGTATTTAATAAAATTTATTTCACATTATTTAAATAATTATGATAATTAGCATTGAATTTATAATCTATGGATGTGTTTTTTTTTTTGTTTATTTTTACAATGATAATTAACTTACTTAATGATTAAAGTATTATTTTTATAGGGCAAAAATTCTAATCCGTTGTGATAATTATTTTATATTAATTAAATAGTTATAATAATTATTTAATTAATTACTTTATAATTTCATAATTATTAAAATAATTAAACTATTTAAATAATTATGATAAGTACTTTAAATTATTTAATTAATTACCAAGACTGATTCAATCCAATAGTAGATAAAACTTATTGAATACCATTAATAAGTTTTTCTATCCACCACCTTCTTTTCTATTATTGATTTTTTTATCTTTTAAATCTAATTATTTTATAATTAGGTTAAAAATATAATCATTTAAATATATTATTATCATATTTTATGTTTGTAATGATTTTTAATACAAAATTATATTTCACCTTTAATATTATTTTCACCGTCTTCGTCTTCCACGGCACGCTTTCGCGCAAGGCAACGTATTTAACTCTTTCTAGAACCGCACTTGGACATCTTTCTTTCCGCACGTAGAACTCAGAAGTAAAGCTATCGACTTTTTTCCTATTAGCATGGGGGAAGTTGGCGAGTGCTCTGGTGCGAAGCCCTCGGTTGATATATGGGCCAAGCTTGGTATGTTTGATTTTCTTTCCTCATTCTGCTGATTGTTTTTGTCTGCTAGTCTGTGTTTGGCTTCCAAGAAACTCCTTCTCTAGTTCGTTTTATTTGATTCTTTTTCATTGTTTCCGGACTTTATTTCTTTACTTATTTGATTTTCTCGATTTCTTCGTAGTGTGTAATATTCGGCCTTGATGGAAATGGTTGTTTTATGGCGGAAGAAAATTACCTTGAACCTTTCTTGTATATGTGGGTAACTTTGTTGATTCTGATGGGCGTTTTGAAATATCATTTGAGGGTTAAATCTTTTCACGACCCAACAAATATACCCGTCTTCTTTCGCCTAATGCAGAAGACAAAAACCTCTCAAATACTGAAGGGAAAACCCAATACATATCAAAAGTATCAAATAAATGAAACCAAAGACTCTAAGTTATATCACCTTGCGGGAAGGGATAATTATGAGATTCAACTTCAACAGCGTCAAAGCACACCAAACTCCCAGGGGATAAAGAACAATTTAGCATCATAAGTATTTAACTTATTTCTTTATATTTCAAGAAAAAAAAGTATTTGACCTATTTACTGTGAAGTCCAAACGAAAATATTAACCTTAGAAGGCGTGGAATCTTACAGAAACACTAGTGCTAATTCGTCTTTTACTGGTATGCTAATTGTTTGATTTACTTATCATCATTCTTGCATCAATTGGAATATAATCAAATTGCTAGCGCAGCAATTTTCATGATAAAGGTTCACATCTAGACATTAGAGATCTAAAATCTAAGTAATTGTCTCATTTGCAGACAGTGCTCACCCCTTTTCAGTCATATGCTTGATGCTTCTGGTTGACCCATGAGGAGGGTATATCTGCTAGTTTTTTAACAGTCAGATGCTTCAGTATGAAATCAATTGGCTCAGTAGTGGACATGTTTGCAACAATTGCATAGATAGATATGTAAAAATCTAATCTTATACGTATTTCTTTGCACTGATTCAGGTTTGGTTGATGTGTTTCCTTGATGCAGTACCATCTGATACTAGATATTCAGAAATTGACATAGGGTCAAATGAGGTGGTGGTATGCTCAGAAATCTCATCTTCTTCTCTTGAGAAGCATGAATGGTGCAAAATAACAAGGAATTCAAATCTAGATTCTGCTACAATGCAAAATAAGTGGTAACTTGCATTAATTCTTTGAACAGTTTATGTCTTGCATTCTCATTTCATATGTTGAACCTGAAAGTTGCACCAGGTGGTTTCAGTCAGTGAACTCTGATTTTTGGGCACAGCCCTAGATAATGGTTTGAAACATCCCACCATGTTGGGATAATTTGTCAATACTGTGTAAATTTTATGTTTAATCAATGCTTGTGAACTTGGTCTCATTCAATCTCCATTACACATGACATCTATGTGTTTGTGGGTGACATGGTACTCATTCTTTTTGTAAAATTCCTAAACACATCATATTTTAGATGTTGGTTAACTTTGAAATTTGTGTTCATTTGCTTTATCGGGAATTGAATTAGTAGATATGCACTCTCTCTCTCTCTCTCTCTCTCTCTCTCTCTCTCTCTCTCTCTCTCCCTCCCTCCCTCCCTCTTTCTCTCTCACTCACATCTCTCTATCTCATTTCCTTTGCATTCCTGGGGGTGGGTGCTGATATAGTTCGAACGTGATACTTGTTGATGGGGCCGTTATCCAAAATGAAGGTGTTGTTGATATCAAGTGTGGAACTGAAATCATTCTTGGACCTGATAGAGAAGGTCAGTGATCATTCTGTGAGACATGTTTCCATAATTGCTACACAAAAGATGAGCTAGTGTTAGAGTTTCATAGCCTTCATACTTCTTGAAAGTTCTCTTTGCACACTTTTTCTTTCCTTTTGTTTTCCATACCATGAAGAAGTGGTTTTGTTGTGCAAAATGGCGGAAAGAAACTGTCATACTGGTGTTGCTTTTCTTATTTTGAGATAACTTAAGACTTTTCTTGAACTAGCAACCATGAGAATTCTTTTACTTCATTTAGAAATATCTGAGAAGAATTACTCATACAAGGTGTGATAATTTTGTTTGAATTCATCCACTAGAAGGAATCTAGTGGAAAAGAGGGGAGAGATTTCTAGTACTTGCCTTCCATTATGCATATTGTTGTTTCTTCCGCTTAATTTGGAGGACTATTTATGTTGGATGACTCTTATGTACGATCTGCACAACTCAAATTCTTTATCACCAAAAGACTCTGCAAGCCTATGTTTGGATTAAAATAAACTAGGTGTTTTAGTCAATCCTTGTTTAAGAGAAAGCTATTACAAATTTATCCTAACTTATCATATTATTCATATATATATATGCGTGTAGATATGTAATCTATTGAACCAAATATTGTAATGAAGTTTTAATCAGCTATTTCTGATTACAGACCTAAAGTCGTGATTTCCATTTCGACGTTGTTCTACTCCTTTGCTTATGGCCTGCTACTTTTCCTGAAACCTTGTAGAGAAGCTTTGCTTTACTTAGGTGTGTGCTTCTTTACTTCTATGCAGTTTTCCTTAAAGGTTATTAGGAAAAATTAGAGTTATTACCATTGGGAAAGGAATTAGTGGTGTTGAGATGGGTCAATCTCGGGTTGCAAAGCTAGTTCTTTTCCCGTTAAGTGCGTATGCCTCCCTTTGGGGAAAAAAGTCAAAGATGTCTTTTTGTTGGATCCTATTGTGGCAAAAATAATAAAGAAGTTCGGCTGGGTGGAAAGTATTCTATATGTCTAAGAGGGACAGACTCAAGCTGCTCAAAAGTTCCTTGTCTAACCATCCTATTTATTTTCTTTCGTTTTCCCTACCCAACTATGGTTGCTAAGATGATTAAAGCTAGTTGATGTTGGTTTTTAGTGTGTGACTGTTGAGCAAGGGAAATACCATCTGGTTGCTTGGAGTACAGCGAAACAACCATAAGGTGTGGTGGATATTAGGTCCATTTGACAAAGCTTTACTGGCCAAGTGGCAATGGAGGTTTCTTTATGAGAGGGCTCCTTTTAGTGGAAGCTTTTGAGAGCCAAGTTTTGGTTGTACATTTGGTTGTTGGCACTCCAAGAGGAGTAGAGATGCTATGTCTAGAGCTTATGGAGATGGATTGGAAAAAATTGGGTTGTTGTCATAGAGGCAGCTTGGTATAAAGTTCTTGATGGTGTAAATACAGGTTCTAGTTTGGACCATGCTGTTTGAGTTGTTGTGAAGTCCCATGTAGTGCACATAAAGTAAAGGAAAAAAGAGATAGTGAGAGAAAGAGTAACTTTGTCTAGCCAGATAATTCTTATTGAGACGCAAAATATTATACTGTACGCCCTCCTTATTGAGACGTAATTGTGAACTGTAAATCCGTTAAGTGTGAGTCACAACTCATAAACATGATTAGGGTGCTCAAGAGACTTCTTTCTTTCTATTTTCTTAGTTGCAATAACTTAAGAGCTAAGGTGCTGCATTCTTTTTGGTGTGTACACTGGCGGGATCCTATGGAATATTTCCCTCCTTCATAACCTTAATGATTGGAGATTCATGAGTGGGTGGATCTTCTTTTTACGTTGGAATCCGCTGAAATTTATCTTGGTTGGGATGACAGACCAACTTGGGATCCCACTATTAATGCAAATTCACTCTTTTTCTTATGAAAGAGTTCTTAGGTGTGATATAAGAATTTTTAGATGTGATATCTAAGAAACCTTAGGCATGATATCTTAAGTTCTATTCCCAAATTCCTTAATAGGAGAATTAACCCCTAGCTTGTCCTCCATTAGATAAAACATAGAAAATAGAAGATAGTTCATAGAAGGTGGAACAAAGTTTTAAGACTTTGCAAAAAAGACAATGGGATAATGATGAAAAAGAAATCATGCAATTCTTTTAAGAATATTGGGTATTTTGTCTAGCCATGTAATTCTTTAAAAAGATCATTTGCAGAAGAGGTCATGGGATAATGATGAAAAAGAAAACATTATATTTCTTTTAAGAATAGTGGATATATTTGCAAAGCCATATAATTCTTTGAAAAGATCATTTATAGAAAAGATCATGGGATAATGACGAAAAAGAAAACATTGTATTTCTTTTAAGAATATTTGATATATTTGTATAGCCATATAATTCTTTGAAAAGATTATTTGCATAAAGGATCATGGGATAATGATGAAAAAGAAAACATTGCAATTCTTTAAGAATATTTTGATACATTTGTACGGCCATATAATTCTTCTGTATGATTTTGCAGAAAAGATATTGGGATAATGAAGAAGGATAATGATGAAAGGAAAGCATTGTATTTCTTTTAAGAATATTGGATATGTTTGTATAGCCATATAATTCTTTGAAAAGATCATTGCAGAAAAGATCATGGGATAATGATGAAAAAGAAAATGATGTATTTCTTTTAAGAGTACTGAATATATCTTTTTAGCATTATAACTTTTTGAAAAATCATTAGCATTTGTGATTATTTGCTTTGCTTTGCATAAAAGCAGAATTTGTGCTTTTAGAAAGCAACCACGTAGCTGCTTTGGAAAAGCATATAGTTTTTACTTTCTTTACTGTTTCCAATTGAAATAATTTGGAAGAAACAATTAATAAATAGATCAAGCTCCAAAACCTTAGAAAGCACAACCAAAACCTTTATCTCAAGTAACTTTGTTGTCATAATTGATGGGTCAGATTTCCCTTCCCATAGAAATCCTGCATTGAAAACATTGTCATAAGCAACACAGTAAATTTTGCAATCTATTTGCAGAAAATGATCTTTTCTGAATGTAAATTCTAGGATTTATGTTATTAAGTTGTCAGGGTTGGATAACTTTTTTGTTTTGATGTCTATAGACTATTTGAGCTACAGATTTAAAGTGATGCCTGGCCAAAAATTGTGCAACCAGCAGTTAAAGGTGGTTAACTATATATGCAATTGTTGTGTGCAATTACATACGTTGATATGCTGATGTGCTTTCATCTTTAAAATTTGGTTTCCAGATATCTGTTAATGCTGAGCATGCAAAATGTAGCATCTGCTTAAACATATGGCATGATGTTGTCACAGCTGCCCCATGTCTTCATAATTTCTGGTATATAACTTGTTTATTCTTGATAATTTTTACCAGTAGCAATTATATTTCAATCTGTTGGTTTTAAACCTCTAGCTGTCTTGTTTTTCATCTTCAGCAATGGATGCTTCTCAGAGTGGTTAAGGAGATCACAGGAGAACCATTTGACTGTGCTGTGTCCACAGTGTAGAGCAGTTGTACAATTTGCTGGGCGTAATCATTTTCTGAATAATATTTCAGAGGTAATACAGTCTTCTTTTATGCAGAGTTAAAGGTGATATGTTAAATCATCAATTCATGGTAGTCTTGTTGTTTATCCTCTCTTTATTTCTATGATAATGGAATTGGCTGGTTTAGTAGTTTTCATTTTCTCCATTGATTTTTATAGTAGAGAAAAAAAAGGAAATCATTGAGGAGCACAAGCTACATTGACATGCCACCCAGCTACAAAAGGAATATACCATGGGAATACTTTTTAGATTAATAACTCTATGATGTCCCCTAATCTTCCACTGAACTGAAAAGATGATCCTTGAACAGA